TTACGTTAATACATTGTAATTAATTACAGTAAAAAGTGCTTTTTTACGACTTAAAAATAATAGAAGTGCTATGAGGCAATAGCGTTTTACTATAAATGGGGCTATAGCGTGCACACGCTATTGCCCCTAAACGTTTCTGTATTTTTATGTGTGGTAATGTTTTGGTCCGAAATTATAAAAAAAAAAATATAAGAGGCAACTGGAACGTTGAACATTTACACGAAGCTGTGCAGAACATTAAAAATGGTTCTATTAGTCTCATGGATGCTAGTAGACAATATGAGATACCTGCAACTACTTTGAGAGATCATGTAAAAAACAGAATTCGTAATTCTTCCAATGTCCCGGCTGTACCAAAAAAGGTTGGAAGAAAAACCGTCTTTACTGAAGAACAAGAACTCCAGTTGGAAAAATATTGTATTGAGATGTCTAAAAAATTTTATGGATTAACCATTCGTGAATTTAGAGAAATTGCTTACCAATTTGCAAGAAATATAGGTGTTGAAAACAGATTTAGTAACAAAAATAACGAAGAAGTAGCCGGATGGGATTTTTATAGTAACTTCATGAAGCGTCATCCTACAATTTCTTTAAGGTCACCAGAACCTACCAGCTTGAATAGGGTTATTGGTTTCAATAAGGCGGAAGTAGACAGATTCTATTCTAATTTAGTACAACTATATGAAAAGTACAAATATAGTCCGAACGACATATTTAATGTTGATGAAAGTGGAATTCATACGGTTCATAAGCCATCCAAGATAATTGCCCGAAAAGGAGTGAAGCAAATAGGCAAGGTTACAAGTGCCGAGCGAGGTGACTTAGTTACTACAATTTGTTGTGTAAGCGCTTCAGGAAGTTACATTCCACCGTTTTTAATTTTCCCCAGGAAATTACTGAACGATCGGCTAATGAAAAATGCACCTCCTGGTTCAATAGGAAAAGTAAGTTCAAATGGCTGGAGTAACACTGACATATTTTATGATTGGTTGAAGCACTTCATTACTATTGTTCGTCCGTCAAAAGATCATCACGTGTGCCTAATTTTGGACAATCACGAGAGCCACATCTCGCTACCTCTTTATGACTTAGCCAAAGACAATGGGGTCGATGTTATCTCGTTGCCACCGCACACAAGCCATCGAATTCAGCCATTAGATTTGGTATTTTTTGGGCCACTTAAGACAGCATTCAACGAATATTGCGCGAATTGGATGAGAACAAATGCCGGGAAACGTATAACCATATACGAAATAGCCGAGTTATTTGGAAAATCATATCAAAAAGTATGCAACATTGAAAAAGCCGTCAAGGGCTTTAAATCTGCTGGAATTTATCCCTACGATAATAAAATATTTTCGGATGAAGATTTTATTGCTCATACATCGCTAGTTCAAACATATAAGACTATGCCTACGCCTACCTTAAACGATTCCGCAGCTACATCTAAAATTCAAACCGAAAATGAAAAAACACCACCCAGTGTTCAAAATATTGCTAAAGTGCAGGAATCGCCTTCTGTGGATGACTTAGCATCTTCGACGTCATCTATAATTGAAACAGTAAAAAATCCTTATAGTGATCTGTTTTCTTTTCCAACAATTACCAAACAAGAGAAAAAACGAAATTCAAGAAAAAAGCACTCCGAAATTCTTACATCAACTCCATTTCGTGAAGAGTTAGAAAAAAAAGAAAAACTAAAAGAAGAAAAGGCAAAAAACGCGGCCAGTGTAAAAAGAAAAATAGTTACTAAATTATGCAAAGGAAAGGAAAATAAAGGTAGTAATGTAGTTATTACCAAAAAGGTGAAATTACAGAAAAGAATTGAAAATTCTGATAGTGGCGATTCGTTTATGGAAGAAACAAACAACGAGAGTGACGTCGAAATAAATTTCGATTCTGAAATATCTGAAATTAAAAAACTGGATTACGTTTTGGTGGAATTTAAACCAAGTCAACACACTAAAGTGTACTATGTGGGTCGTGTTCTAACAGATGAAGAAAATGGAGAATTTGAGGTTTCGTTCTTTAGAAAAAGTAAAAAATTGGATAATGTTTTTTATCTTCCTCAAGCCTTAGACATATCACTTGTCTCTAAAAAGGACATAAAAATGAAATTACCTGAACCAAGGTTAAACGGTAGCACGAAAAGACAACAGTCACATTTATTGTTTAGGGTTTGTTTTGGAAATCTAAGGATTGAATAATGTAAGAATTTTGTTGTTATTCATCAGATAGAATACACATTTTATGTTTGTTGTCATGGGTATACAATGTTTTAGGTAGGTACAGCATATTATTGTTTTCCCTAAACTGTTACTTAGTAATAATAAAACAGGTTATTGTACTTATTTGAGTTTTGAATAAAATTTTATATTGATTTATAAGCTCCTATCAATGTTAAAATTGATACAGCGCTATAACCCCTATCAATCGCTTTTGCCCCCATGGAAAAATGCTATTGCCCCAAGAGACTGGGGCAATAGCGTTGTTCGTGTAAATTTTAAACTTTTAATAATAATTTTTATTTACTTGATAATAACAACTGAAATATGTGAGTATCAAATTAATATCGTGGTTAATTATGTGTACAAGTCTCTACGTTATATTTTAGATCAATCGCAATCAAAATCAATTTTGAAATTTTTGGTGCGCTATTGCCCCAACCTCCCCTACTTTAAAAATATATGAAAAATATTGTTTAGAGGATACAAGTAAATCTAAGTTTGAAATATTTTTATTTTTTCCTTAAATTACAATAAATTTAAAATATCGTTCCTTAATATTAAATACAATTCAATAGAGTTATATGGATCCTTAGTAAAAGTTAGTCCTTTTTTCATTCATTATTATTGTACATAATTCAAATACGTCTAAGTTTCTAATATCATTCTCACTAACGGGGTTTATATAGGTTTTTGTACCATATATTTCTGGTAATTCAAACATTGTTACAGGTCGCCCATTTGGTGCAACTGAATTTTTCTTGCCACTAATTCTATGTGTATTCCATTCAAATGATATGGTGTCCAAGTCCTCCTAAAAATTAAAATTTACATTTCCATTAGTTCCCAACTCCAATATTATTGTAATTTTGTAAAGTAGCTAAAATAGTTTTATACACAATTTTTGTTTGCAAAATTAATTTTTCCTAGATTTATATAAATAAATATCAACAAGAGTGACTCATCTTACATCATAAAACATTATATTGTATCTAGCTCAAGAACAAAAATATTGCATATTTTATTTTTTAATTTTATTCAACACTTAATTATATAATTTTTATTGCTAAATGTATTATTCTGTAGTGTTTTAGGTATATTCCCACATAACATCAATGCATATACTAAGAACGTTCTGTTTATGTTCTTTATGGTATGTACTTTTTAGAATGTTCTTAGAACATACTTAGAATTGTGAAAGTATATTCTAAAAAGTATATACTAAGCACGTGGTTTGATAGAATATTCTCAGAAAATACTAAAAGTCGTATACCCAGCACGTACCTCATATTCTGAGAACGTTCTAAATGCTTACAGCTAAAAATTAACACTAAGTATAAAACAAATAAATTTGGTTTAAAATATTTTGAATATTTGTTTACACAATTTATGGAATGCCATATAACCCAAAAGTAAAGAGTAAGGTAACTAAGGCAATAAACTTACCTGGACCAGCCTCAAGAAAACAAACTGTATTAATGCTTTATCAATTAAACTTGCAGTAAACCAACCATTCTCAGCAATAGATTGTAATGACCCAAAATTGTGCAGAGTGTTTCCTTAAAATAGACCACCATGCTTCAATTCGCTGATTAGAAGTACTTTTTCCATAAATAAATGATGTATTGGCTAAGTTATTTTGTTCACTAAAATATGTTTGTATTTGTTCAATGTACCGATTTTCAGTACCTAAATCAGTTCGTATCATTTTGGAACTCCTCCTAAATATTCAACTAATTCTATAAAATATCCACTAATCACTTTAGGATCATTGTTTGTGGAGGCTGCTTTGAGCCATAAAATGTGTTGAGAAAATCCATCAATGCATCCATTAATAGCTATGCCATATGGTTTCTGCTTATCATAACCATCAATATGCCATAAAAAATTAGGTCCCTTACTAAAATATTGGCTTCTTCTTAATCTGTTTCTTCTACGAACCTGTACTCCTTCAGGATCTACAATATTTAATCCTAACCGCATAGCTTCTTGAATACATTTTAAGTGCATCCATTTGTATCCATGTAATTTTTCTACTTGTCCCTTTTGTTCTATTAAAAAAGAAATCAGATTTTCAACGTTTGTAAAAATTTTTCTTCTATATAGTTTTATACATTTAAACGTCTTCCACTAATTTTTATATTGTCACGTAATTCAAGGTAAATTAATATTTCTTGGTAACTCAAACCCAGTAAAAAATATTCTTTAATTAGCTTCTCTTGATAATCCATTTATTACAGTTTGCAGTTTGATTTCCAATAACTCAGCAAAGGTGCAGCAAAGACAGCACTCAAAACTCAAAGAACTCAGAACATCCGAAATACAATGGGTTGGTGAAAGGATAAGCGGGATAAAAATCAGTTTTTGTTTAATGGCAGTTATATTTTAATGTCGTTAATTATTTTTAAGCAAAGATATTGTGTTTTTAAGTATGACAGGTTGCAGCGCCCTTTTAAACACTCTTGCAACATAAAAGCAGATACTTAATTTTCTGTTCTTTGACTATTTTTTCTCAAAATTTTGACTTTTTTTCTCAAAATTTTGACTTTTGCTTTCTCAAAAGTTTGACTTTATTTTCTCAAAATTTTGACTTTTTTCTCAAAATTTTTACATTTTTTTCTCAAAATGTTGACTTTTTTTCTCAAAATTTTTACATTTTTTTCTAAAAATTTTGACTTTTTTAAAATAAAATAATTTTTTGTGGCACGAATACGCCGTCGTATATACTACATAGAAGAATGATTGAAATAAAAATGAAATAATTTAAACACTTACCAAAAATAGTATGGAGGCATTAATTTCAAAAAAACCCATAGCTGAAAACTTTACTCTGGCTAGTTTTACTTGTCTAGAGAATATAAGTAGCTAAAATAAGTTAGTATAATTACAAATTACAGATATGCTTTAAAGCACGATACACAAATACCGGTATGCTACTAATTCGACCGAATTATGACGTAACGTGGCATGAAGCAAACAGTATTTGATTGACGTTTAAATAAGAATTATTCTTTCATACCTCCGAACAATTACTACTAGAGGGAGCGTGAAACAAGTTTGTAGGCGATTGTTGTGTTTGCAACATGGGCGGCTATCATCGACAATCGCTAAAAAACGAACCGTTTTCGAAAGTGAGTGGTTGAAAACTAAGTAGTTTTTGAAATCTATATGCTTGACTAATGTTTGATGAGCATTTGTTTTTTAAAACGTATACGTTTTTAACACTGATCTGAAAATAATCCAGATCAGAGGTTTTTAACAAGCAAATAATGTTTGGCATCACTGTAAACTATATTGTTGAATTCAAGTAATGTGCAGGTCATAAAAAAATAAAAATTATGTAATTTAATTACAACAAACCAATTGTAAATTTATCGAATGATGATTTTTTCTAATCACATAATATATGAATGTTCAGGATAAACTAAATCGTTAATTTTTTGCGGAAAAATAGCTAGTTTTTATGGTACAAAATTAATTTAAATAATAACTTTGCTTATCTTATTCATTTCTTTAATATTTTGTGGCACTTTTACAAAATTGTTAAAATTTCTGGACCAAACTTGTGATACAGAAGAGCTTTGAACTACCACTTGCAAGAAACCGCAAGCAAATTAATATCTGTAAATAAAATATACATGAATTAATAATGAAATTCTTACACGGTAAGATATAAAAAATATTCATTCAATATCCATTAAATTCAAAAAATGAAATCTGCCTCTACGTGTCTGAATCTTTGAGGATTCTTATCTTCCAAGTTTTCTAATTGTAAAATTAATAATAATTGAAAGAAATTCCCAGTTATTAGACTTTTTTAGTACTGTAAACCATATTTATTAGAAAATAAATACTTTTGTAGGTATTAATAAAAAGTAGTTTATCTAGAATTTGTTAAAATCAATCAATATTATTAATATTCCTATTATTAATAATCCTTGAAAACATGCACGTTTTATCAAAAACGTGTGAAAAATTCCGCTCGCTGTAAAACACCCGTTTTAAAAACGTACACGCTTTTAAAACGAATGTCCAGAATAGCGAATAGCTCGCATGTTGCTAAAGCGTATACGGTTTTTAGAAAAAGCCGAGGATAGGGCCGCTGACCGTTAGTTATCTATTATTAATTTGTTTATCTAAGAGTGTCACTTACAGGGCTCGGCATAAGTCCGGCAACGCTCGAAAAATCGGCATAAGTCTGGCAACTCTCTCAAAAAAGATTGAAATAAAGCTTGTTCGTGCTTCTGACAGTTGTGTCGCGTTTTCAGAATGAATAACGATACAAGTTCACGCTTCAAGAAAGAGTTTTTTTTGTTACGTCGTATCTTCATACGAACGCAGATTACGAAACGATGTTTACCGAATTTCAACAACAATTTCCGAACTCGCCGCTACCAAATCGTTCAACAGTGTGGAAGACGTACCAGAAAATCTTCGCGGACACCTTAACATGCTTCGACTGACCTGTCTCTCCGTTGCGAAATGTTGCCGTCAATGCATTGATCAAGATTGGCATCAATTTGAACACTTAAACTAACCCTTTTTCGAATCCCTTCTGTAATTTCTTCGAATAAATTCATTTTGACGCTGCATTTTTTTTATGCAAATTTGTTATGCCGACCCCTGTATTAGTCAACTCGATTGTTCAAAATCAGCGTCGCGTGACATAACAATTATATTGTTATCTTAACATGTAAACCTTCTAACTCCATAAGTAATATTTTACAGGAGAAACAAAAAACAGTTTCATATAGATATAAGTAGTAGAAATAAAAAAAAATAAATCAGTAGGTCCTGTAAAGGACGCTTTTAATTATCAGTAATGTATTTTGAAAAACATTCAATTATAAATGTTTTTCGTTTACATTTTGGAATTACATCCCAGACAGCACACCAAATACTTTGGATATCTACTGGACATCCCAATATCCACTGAATGTCCAGTCCATAGTGGATATCTATTTTACATCCATGAGATGTAATTTATAGACATGCAAATGTCCATAAATAATAGTAATTATATAACAAATTATTAAAAAATAACGCCATTGTGGCTGATAATACCGTTTAGATATTTAAAATTATTTTTTTTAAGGTGTATTCAATATCCCATGGATATCCACTAAATATATCGCATACCATGGTGGATATCCAATAGATGTAATTTATGGATATAATATGTAGGGGAGAGTGGGCCACAGTGGGTCATGTTCCACAATGGGTCAACGCCGCTCCTGTATTTCTCGAGAATACTACTCAAACGACTTATGGTGTCCGTAGTACGAACTACTAGATACACCTTCTAACGAACAGTGTGCTGTGATCAGTTGTAGTTCTGTCGTTGTATGCATAAAGTTGAAAGTGACATTATAAAAACTAAAAATTGTGTAATTCGGTAAGTTTGTTGTAATCATTTTATAGTGGAAATATTTCTAATTTTTAGTCTATCATTAAGTAGTATATAAAGTGAGCTACTAAATGGCATATTAACAAAGTAGAAGAATGAATGTTCAGGTTAAAATAAATGAGGGTATTCATAAAATCTACACGTGGTCCACAATGGGTCTGTTTGTGTGGGGTACAATGGGTCAGTGCAAAATCGATGTAAAATTTTACTTTTGGTTTATAGCCTCAAAATGACACGAAACCGGAAACGAAAAACCGATAAAGGTACATTTACAGAGGAAATGATGAGAAGGGCAGTTAATTTGGTTATGGCAGAAAGTGTTTCTATTAGACAAGCTGCAGAACGAAGTGGCATTAAATTTTCAACTCTTCAGCGGTGAGTCATAACAATTCTATTTTGTGCATGTAACATAAAATTTTGAATTTTGGTTTTGCAGATATGTTAAAAAGGAAAAAACAAAAGCAGATGGCGAAACTATTCGACTGGTTCCTAATTATGCTAGTCGTCAAATATTTACCACCGAACAGGAAAAATTATTAACAGACTACCTTGTTCAATGTGCAGGCATGTGTTATGGAAAATCTACCAGGGATGTAAGAGAAATTGCTTATGAAATGGCGACCATTAATAACATAAAAGTTCCTGATAACTGGCATAGGGATAAGAAAGCAGGACTAGAGTGGATGCGCTCGTTCCTCAAAAGAAACAAATTGAGTCTAAGAATCCCTGAAGGTTGTTCTCTGTCTCGTATGACATCGTTTAATAAACATAATGTTGATATATTTTTTACAAACCTAGAAAATTTGTATAAACTTAAAGAACATTTTGCTAATGGAACTCGGGTGTGGAATTTAGACGAGACAGGAACTACCACAGTTCAGTCATGCAGAAAAATAATTACAAAACAAGGTGTCAAACAGGTGAACGCGGCAACTAGCCAAGAACGCGGTACATTAGTAACAACTTGTGTGGCTATTAATGCTATGGGCTCCTTTATTCCCCCTGTAATGATCTTTCCGAGACAACATTTTAAACCACACATGATCAACGGAGCCCCTGTTGGCACCTTAGGTTAAGCTAACCCCAGTGGATGGATGACCACGGAACTTTTCCCGCAAGTTATACAACATTTTGTACAGTTTACGGCAGCCTCAAAAGGAAACCCGTGTTTATTAATATTGGATAATCATGAGAGCCATCTTTCGTTAGCAGCTCTAGACTTAGCAAAATCCAAAGGCATCACGGTATTAACGTTACCACCTCACAGTAGCCATCGTATGCAGCCCCTGGATGTTTCTGTGTTCGGACCGTTTAAAGCTTACTATAACGAAGCAGTTCAAGCATGGCTGTTGGCGCACCCAGGAATTCCACTTACCATCTACGACGTAGCCTCCTGCGTAGGAACAGCGTTTAAGAAATCAATGGTCCCAACAAATATTACAAAAGGTTTCGAGCGAGCTGGGATTTTTCCGTTTGACAAAACAATATTTTCAGACGCTGATTTTTTGTGTAGCTCTGTAACTGATAGGGAAAATCCCGCAGAGATACAACATCCTGAGGGAGGGGTATCTAATGTTGCAACCTTCACAACCCCTTCTTCGGATGAAACTGCAGAAGCCGGATCTAGCACAGAAACACCGTGTGTGTCTACAACTTCATCGCACTCGGATACCGATAACAAAAAATTTTTGAGTCCAGCCCATTTTAAAGGATTTCCAAAAGCAAAACCAAGGAAAACAACTAGGAAACCTCGAGAAAAAGGTAGCAGCATTATTGCCACCAGTTCTCCTGAACAGTTAAAATTGAAAGAAAAAGAGGAAAAGAAGAAAGAAAAAGCGGAAAAGCAAAAAGAAAATGCCGAAAAGAAACGTAAAGTTAAACAAAAGAAACCTCGAGTTACAGTTACTGAATCGGATGAAGAAGAGAACGAAGATGACCAACATTGGTTCTCCGGTTCTTCAGATGATAGTCTCGATTTGGTTGATGTCGATAATCAGGAAGAGGATATTACAGCACTCTTCTTGAATGGTATTTTAGAGAGACCATTGAAGAAAGACGAATTTATTCTCGTCGAATTTAGCGAAAATAAATCAAAATATAAATTATATTATGTTGGCCAATATACAGGGGTTACCGCTGAAGATGGAGCGTATGAAACCAAGTTCCTACGCCGCAGTTTTAAACATGATAACGCCTTTTATTTCCCAAATATCCCAGATATAGCGGATATACCAGAGCAAGACATAAAATTAGTATTACCGCCTCCATCAAATATTCGTGGTACAAAAAGAATGCAAGGTATCATAAAATTTGATATTAGTTTTTACAATATCGCTATAAGATAATTAAAATGAATGTAATATTTCTTTTTTATTATATTTCTTTCGATGTAACTAGCTAGTTTAATGATTTTCCTATTTTTTTAACCCATTTCTAGGTTGACCTATAGTGGCCCATGTCGTGACCCATTGTGCCCCATTAATGGTCTACAATGGGTCAAAATTTTGATTTGGCATTTTGAATTTTCTGTCTTTTTTCTTTATTTATTTTTAAAATTTTAGCGACTAGATATCTTCTCCATGAGATTAACCGTTGGCTGCACGCATTCACAAGTGTCACTATTGTGTCAAAAAAATTAGAAACATTGTAAAGTAAAAATTGACCCATTGTGGCCCACTCTCCCCTACCTAAATATGTGAATGTGAATATGTGAATTGATTTAATAATTATTAAATTACCTAAATATTACGTCATGTGAAAACTAAGAAAGTATGTAGGTATGGTTTATATAAATTTAAAATTAGTAACTTGTATACAATATCCTACAGATATCCGCTAGATAAATAATACTGGCAATGGACGCGAGCGCAGGCGCGGATATTTTCTGCCCTCATAGATGCCATCGGCCATTTTATAGTTTGTTTCGTGTGCATGAGTTTCATTTGATAATTTTGGATTAAAAGGAGGTAAGTAAGCTTGAAAACCTAAATTTATTAGTGTAAAAGGTTGATAGACTTTAGTTAAATAAGACAATTCACGTTATTAAGATTGTTAAGTAGGTTGTGTTAAAATCCGTGTCCTTTTTAGGTAATTCTCAACTAGAAATTCATGTCGTTGGTACGATACCCTATTTTATTTTAATTAAGATGGATGTTACTTTACCTACCTTCATATACCTACTTATTTCGTGTGATTATTACTGTTTCGGTTTGGTTTTTATTGTTTAATGGTTTTTATAATTAATTAGAAAAAGGTATTCTTATTACATCTGCCTTGTATTCAATAGCATGCATGAATAATTTAACAAGTAAGGTTAGATTATGTTTAGCTGGACCAACAGTTTAGATAAATAAGTATAATATATACACAGATCCAGCCCTTTTAAATTATTAGTTATTGTTATATACCGGGTGTTCAACTTAAAGCGTTACAGCTATATACCGTTTTTTATAAAAAAAAAAACGTTTCAGACGAAAGTTTTATAGTTTTGTGGGGAAAAACGTTTGGCTAAAATCGTTTTTTATAGCTAACAATAATATGGCCAACTTTTTTTTCGCGCAGCAACATTTTCAAGTAGCTGTTACTCAAAAAGTAAAAGTCCAATAAAAAAAATATTTCCCTCAAAAGTTTCTTATTTTTTTATGTACTTTAAGAATATGTAAGAAAAAAATGGGATTTCCATTTAAAAAAATAAAGTCCACCTCGATATGGCCATATTTTGGTCAGCTACAAAAAAAATGAATTTAGCCAAAATGTTTCCTCCAAAAAACTGTAAAACTTTTGTCTGAAACTTTTTTTTCTAAAATGCATATTTTCGGCGGTATTTGACTGTAACACTTTAATTTGAACACCCGTATTGTATAAGTGACCCTCTGCACAAAAGGCGTTTTTCAGACTGTCATTTTCGTTTTGGGTATAGCTTGATTTAAAATATAGGTTCACTTTTTGACGAATTCTACAATAGAGCGTCTTTTAAGCTATTGCATAGCTTTTATCGCAGGCTTTGAGAGCGGCGACCGAATCAAGAAATTCCGTAACACCGTAACGAAAATAAACCTAACACCCCCCACTCCGATCGGCACAGCGGTGCGGCGTTGAAACTTTCAACTTGAAAGAAGTGGAAGTTTTTATCCGACCCTATTCGTATTAGTATGAAGCGGAGTTAAATATACGTCTGCGGACTGGAACGTTTATGCAATACAAGAACTAGAAGAGCTTTCTCTGGCTTCTAATAAATTGGTATCACAAATGTTCCCGGCTGTCGTAATAATTAGATATTAATTTTTTTTGCAAGATTTATAAAATATTAATTTTTATTTTATCAGTGCTAACTATTTCATTATTAAGCTATTGCATATATTTTATCGTGGGCTTTGAGCGCGGCGACCGAATCAAGAAATTCCGTAACACCCTCGAAAAATCGAAAAATCGAAAAAGAAATTCCGTAACGAAAATAAACCTAACACCCCCCACTCCGACCGGCACTGCGGTGTGGCGTTGAAAGCCGTGCATCGTCTAACGTCGTTTCAGTTCGGCAGACTTCGGCACGGTGTTTGTGTGCGTGCGACTAGACGTATGCGTGTAGACTAGCTGCTAACTGCTCATGATTCTATCACTTTTAGACACAATTTCGGAAAAATTGAATTTGAAAATGAATAATGATCCACAAGAATCCACAACAAAATATGGGACCACCATTGACGTGGTATTTTCCAGATATTTAGAGGATATCAAGTCTCAAACTTATGTTTCTTATTTCAGTTAAACCTATAGTTTTAATGATAAAAATTCCTGAATAACCTACATGTATTCTAAGATAATAAAAATATTTTAAACAATATTAACTTCTCATTTATTCAATAAAAGAAAAAAAATTGTTTTCTTATCGGTCACTACGCTCAAAAAGTGTAACTTGAATTAATATCAAAGAAAAAACTTGAATTGATATCAAAGAAAAAAAAATACTGCATAAGTAAAATAAATAATTATAATTGCTTAAGTTGATAAAAAATGCTATGCAATAAAATAAAATACACAAGAATGAACATGTTCATGAGGTTACCTTTTTCCATATTTCCTCCGATCTAACTGAAATATTAGATGACAAATCTAATATTCGATGTATTATTTTACCAGTGTTTTTGAGCTGAAATTTTAAAATAAATTATATTAGCAATAAAGCATAACTTATGCACAATGGACCTAGTGAGGCCTAAGTTCCGTGGGTTAGCCCACCCTCCACACGTTATACAGACAAAGCATAACTTGCAGCACATTAATTTTCTTAAAACAACACAAGACATTATTTAAAAAATCACATTAACCTCTCAAAAAAAAAATATAAACTCTGCATAAAAATGACATTAAACGAGACTCAAAAAAATTATTAGAGTTATAAAAACACAAACGTAACAAGTACAACCCACCCTTCCACATCCACTCTTATTGCATAAGCTACTATTGACATACTCACGGATTTTGAAGTTCTATGGCATAGTAAAGCGACATAAAAAGATTCAAAAGAAAACATTATTATCCAACTTAACCATAATCCACAGGCGTCATATCTTTTATTGATCTGTAATTAAAAATAATTATAAGTAAGGGGGCGTTTATATATTACGTAAGCAAACTTTCAATGATTTTAGGCCCATTCCCCCTTGTATAGGCAAAAATAATGAAATCATGAATCTATGGCTCGTACCAAACAAATATACCGGGGTTAAAGTACCTCGAAAACAATTGGCCACTAAGATAGCTCGTAAGAGTGCATCACACAATACCCAAGTTTCTAGATCATTAAAAATTGGTTGTTGATCTTCACAAATCAGGTTTAAATTCGTGGATTCGGTTATAAAGTCAAAATAGTGTAACGACTGTTTAATTTAAAAACAGTTTATTTATTTAAAACAATTTATTTATAATTTATTTATAACGTACTAATTAATTTATATAAAACTAAGGAACTATTATAATTTCTTTATTATAATTTGCCTTTACTATCCAACATTTTTAATGAAACTTAATGTCTGTCGACAAGTTGCGCTATTTTTATAACAATGTAACACTCTCGAAAAAATCAACTCTGACTAGAAGTTCTGGGAATTATTCTCCAGGCTTCAGACTGCGATGGAAAACATTCGATTCGGTTTCTGGAGTCTCGAGATTGGTCTCGATATGGCCAGTGCTAGACTTCCTGTCGCGGGTACGGTAATAAACAAAGAACAAGGTTGGCTTTGTGCGACATCGCCCCCTCCTTAAAAAATAGTTCCTCCTGAAACTGAAATCGAATGATTGTGTCTGCAACTGGACCCACTTTTACAATTTCCATTCGTATTGAAATAACAAGGGACCGCTTTTGCTGAATCCTGGACACTAGGCGAATGGCTTCAGACCAGTATTTGGACTTCGACACCTTAGAAGATTACTTCCAGTATGTTTCTTATGATCCTCCAATTTAGCTGATTGCTCTCTATCTTGGGCATGGCTAGTTTCTGTACATTGGACTCCAGCACGTGCTACCTCAGACTAAGTAATGCGTCCTATACATCATGATAAGTGGATCGATCTTGGAAGGGTGTTCTTTGTTACCAAATAGAAAAGATAACACGACCCATCTTAAAGTTTCAATGTTTTTCCAAGGGGTCGTAACTGATCTTGAAGTTCTGGCAATAAACCAAACTTCGGTTTTTTTGGTGGACTACCTTTGATTTACCGTTCGGGATATTACTTATACGGTATTTTTTTCATAATGAGGTACGAACCTTCCCAAGAAAGTTTAGGAGAATAACTCTGTCGCTGGCGATTTGAAGATGCGAGCGAACTAATTCATGCATGTCGTTCATTTTTCTTCGTAGCTGGATCACATATTCTTCACCGGCTATGTGTTCTCCAGGTTGGCATCCAAACTCGAAGTCACACGGTAGTCTCATTTCACGCCTTTGTTGGAGTTTAACCTGTAGATTTATTGACAGAGGATCTATATGCCATTGAGAAAAGCGAGAGATACTCATCCCAATCTCGGTGATGGTTGTAAACTACTTTTGACAGGTATTTCCCAATGGTCTTATTCATTTGCTCTACCATTCCATCTGGTTTTATTCATGCCTAGTTTGTCACATATTCCTCGGAAACACTTTTAAAATTTTTGCCTTGGTCACTGTGAATCTCCAAGGGCACTCTAAATCTACTAATGAATTATTTTATTAACACGTCTGCAACAGTTGCGGCCTCTTGATTTGGAATGGCACACACTTCTCAAATGGACTACCGACGTTGTACTGCTTCATGGGGGCCTTCCTTTTTCGTTGGGGTCCGTTACTCATAGCACAGATGGTATATTTCTTATACCAGTCCTTTACATCATTGGAAATGTTCTTCCAATAAAACCTTAAACCTCAAACCTTAAACCTTAAACCTTAAACCTTAAACCTTAAACCTTAAACCTTAAACCTTAAACCTTAAACCTTAAACCTTAAACCTTAAACCTTAAACCTTAAACCTTAAACCTTAAACCTTAAACCTTAAACCTTAAACCTTAAACCTTAAACCTTAAACCTTAAACCTTAAACCTTAAACCTTAAACCTTAAACCTTAAACCTTAAACCTTAAACCTTAAACCTTAAACCTTAAACCTTAAGAGTAAACAGTAGCGGCCGCCTCCACCAAAAAAATGAAAACAGAAACTGTAGCCTTAAAAATTGCTTTATTTAGATCGATTTTTTTTTAAAGTGTTTATAATGACTTGCAGAAACCCGCTATTTGCTTCAAATTTTTTTTAAAAAGGTAGTTTCTATTATTTTTTTATGTTTTTTTTTTTAAATAAAAAAACCAAGCAAATAGCGGGTTGAAATGAAACAAACTGAATAATTTTTCCAAGTACATTTTTTTTAAATAATGCATATTTTGAGCGTCGTTTCTTTTATCAAATTCAATTGTCTCCGTTCATAAATTCCGGTAGCCTGCCTATATTTTTCAAGTTTGGCAACAAGGCACAATCTTGGTACTTGGATGGTAGCGGCAGAAGCTCGACTTCTGCTGCATTCCAATTTTCCATAAGCGCAGGGTGGTTTTATGTTGGCAAAATATAGTGCAAATTTAAATGTGTTAATTGTTTCGTGCAAATAGTGAGCTGTGTAAAAATACAATATTTATTTTAAGTTAAAAACAGTTTGTGTTTATATTAATTGGTAAACAACATAATTGGAAATGGGTCGTTCTGGCATTAAGAATAAAAATTTGCGCTTAAATCAGTTCAGAAAAAGTAGACGCCTCTTACGAAAACGCTGGTAAATTTACTTAATAAGGAATATTTTTAATAATAATATTAATGAGTCTTTAATTAATGTTTTCAGCTTAACTAGTTTCGAAAAAAGTGTCCATGAAAACGTTTTACAGAGCGTTGAAAATACAGTGCATGAAACAAGACAGCTCGAAAGGTTTGTAAAAAAAAATTAAACATAACATTGATTCTCTTTTTTGATAGCAAACAAATGTTGTATTAATTAAAACAAAACATGTTCTATTACATACTATATACAGAGTGTCCCATTAGTGTGTGGCAGTCCAATATCTCGGTTGTTTTTGAAAACACGAGAAAATGACAAATACAAAAGTTTGACGGTTCACAGAGGCTCCTATTGTATTAATATTTTACAATATCAGGATGTCCCCAAAAAGCAAAGTAACTTAAAAAATATTTTTTTCTGATGGATCATCCTGTATTTCATTTTATATTTTTATTCTACTAAAAAATATAAGTATTTTTGTCTAAAACACCATATGTCAAAATTTAATTGTTTTTGAGCTGTTTACATTCGAAAATTTATATATTGAAATTTTCATATAAGTTGGGTTTATGAGCATAATTCAGCAACATTTTTAATATATTTTTTTTATAACCTCTCTTAAAACTACTAACTAATATTAATGCAAAAAACACACTTTTATAGGATTTGGTACCATACCTACTATACTTTACCAACTCAAATTATAAAAAAATTTGCTAGTTTTACAAAATCATATTACAACTTACAAATAATAATATAGGTACTATTTTTTAATCAATTTTGTTATTTTATAGAAGCCAGAGCTTGATGAATCATACTACTTAATTAGTTGTTGTTATTGTATTACAAAATGCATATACAGGGTGTTAAAAAAAAGTGTCACAAAATGAAATGGTGAATAGTATGACCCAAAATAAGCAGAAAAGTCTTAATAAATATATGACCGCAAATTAACGGTTTCGGAGATACGGACCATTTTGTGTTTATAACAATTTTTTATTATTATAAAAAACAATGATATTTATAAACAATCAAAGTGCCCTCCCTCCATTTCAATGCAGCTACGACATCTCCTCCGAAAGGACTGTCGGTACTGACGTAGCGCTTCCCTCGCATTGCCATTTGCACGACCGTACATAAAATGCATGTCAGCTAATTCAATATTAGTGTAAACAGGCATAACGAAAATTTATAAAATTATTCACCCACAACAAAATAATAACTGCAAATAGTATCTATGAAAAAACATCGGTAGACTCCGATAAGAAAAGCAAGTTTTTGAGAATGAAAAAAGATAATCAAAAAATGATACAAAACACAAAACACTCCGTATCTCTGAAACCATTCATTTGCGGACATATGTTTATTAAGACTTTTCTGCATATTTTGGCCCATACTACCCCCCGTTTTATTTTGTGACACTTTTTTTTAACACCCTGTATAAATTATATCTTAATGACCCTAATTTTTAATCCCTAGCAAACAGGTAGAATATGAGATAATTTACTTGAACAATAACACAATAAGCATGTACTCAATAACTTGTTAAGTATGTACTATATAATAATAATTATAATGCTACCCCATGGTGATTTCAGACAGTATACAATTTATACCTAAGTATGAACATTTTTAATTATAACAGCTTTAGTTATTTCAAATTAAAATTATATTGCGATAGATTTACATCAAACCAAATTTTGACAAATAAAGTGTTTGAAATGAGGTACCTATATTATACGATTTTACATTTTGAAAACTCAAAGAGAAGGCATAAACATATTTAATCAACCGCGGAAAAAAATGTAATCTAAAAATGTATTGGTTCTTACCTGGCAAATACAAACATAACCAGTTTGTATCTTTTGTAATAATTAAAATGAAAAATGTTCTATTACCTATATACAGGGTGTCCCATTAGTGTGTGGCAGTCCAATATCTCGGTTATTTTTAAAAATACGAGAAAATGACAAATATAAAAGTTTAACGGTTCACAGAAGTGCCTATTGTAGAAATATTTTGCAATATACAGGGTGTCCCCCAAAAGAAAGTAACATTTTTTTTTTCTAAAGGATCACCCTGTATTTTATTTTATATTTTAATTCTACTAAAAAATAAAGGTATTTTTGTTTAAAACACCATATGTCTAAATTTAATTGTTTTTAAGTTTTTGACATTCGAAAATTGACTTTCTCATACTTTGACAAGCGGTAGCTCTCAAACGGTTGAAATTAGAGTAAAACGGTTTACATGTCCCTATCTTAGTTTTTTATACCTTATACAAATATGT